GCCCAGCAAGACCAGGCTGAGCCTGAACAAGAGGAGCAGTCGGGATACCCCTCCCAGCGGCACGACCAATACCAGGCCCAGCCATAGCCGCAGCATTGACGGCCTTAGCACGGGACTCTTCAGCAGGTGGTGGACCCTCAACAGTCATGGAAATGACCTCCTCGCCGCGAAGAAGAACAAGCCCAAGGGTACGACGCTCGTCGCGTTCATCATTAGTCTTTTTACCCTTAGCTGGAGGAAGCTTACGGAACTCCTCGCAGTCGCCGAGGACGAGGTTCATGTGCCGATCGAAGGCCATGAACTTGCCAACCAATTGGCGACCATCTTGGATGGTGACCCTCATCCGGTAATTAATATACTGGAGCATCTTCGAACTTTTAGACATCGACATTGTGCCAGAATTTGGAATCCCTCAACTGAGATGCGACCTAGGGTTTGTTTCAGTAAGAACTGAAGCAAGACGAAGTGAAATGAGCGTAGAGCGAGAGTGGGGGAGAGGAAGCTAGGGTTTTAGAAATTGGAGCCTAATCTTTTTTTTTCAAAATTGTTCTTTGCCAAAAAAACAAAAAAGGGCCGAACACGACGATGTCGGCCCACCGGTCCAAAGTCCATACCCAGTTTTAATTCCCCAATATTACGCACTTTTTATTTATTTATTTATTTATATATAATTATTATTAATATTGTGTTTTAAAAATTGTTTTATTCAAATATAAATTTGTTTCTCTCTACACCTAATTATTGTGACCAATCAAAAGCTTTCTTGCTCTCTCTCTCTCTCTCTCTTTTTTTTTTTTTTTTTTTTTTTTTTTTTTTTTTTTTTTTTTTTTTTTTTTTTTTTTTTTTTTTTTTTTTTTTTTTTTTTTTTTTTTTTTTTTTTTTTTTTTTTTTGTAACAAATGGTTATTTTGTTTTCTTTTTTAAATTTTTAAGGATATTAATAAAAAACTCGAAATATTATTTTTGAACAAAATCTTAATGCGTCTTGAAAATTTTAACAGTAATTTAAAAAATGAACAAACCCGAAAAGCCCAAATTTTGTTGAGCGTTCAGTTGCTTCGTCGGTTTTCTTTCTCTTTTATTTCTCCTAGTCTGCTAGATTCAGATATAGAACAAGGAGCTTGGACGAGAAGGAAACCATGGCAGCACCAGATCATTTGTTCAATCTGAGAAATAATTTCTACCTGGGAGCGTATCAGGCAGCCATTAACAACAGTGATCTCTCCAATCTCTCACCCGATGACGCAATCGAGAGGGATTCTATTGTTTTCCGCTCTTACATTGCCCTTGGCAGCTATCAGGTCTGTTCCTGCACGTTAGAGTGGTTCGAAAGTTTATTGATGCTTGATTTGAATTTGATTTGAAACTCTTTGCGTACTCTTTCAGCTAGCCATCAGCGAGATCGACTCATCCGCCCCGACGTCTCTCCAAGCCGTCAAATTGCTCGCTCTTTATCTGTCCGATCCTAGTAGCAAGGTTTCATCCGTGGATCTAGAGCCCCTTTTAGCCGATTATGTTCATTTGGAATATAATAAATTCTGTTTGGAATTCATAGAATTTCAGTTATATTATTGGTTCACGCATTTGTAATCCATGTTACTTCGCTTTATAAATTTAAACCATATTTGACACTGATCTGTGGAATGGAGTTCTAAAAATTTAAAGAGGGGTTTACTGGATATTCAGAGTTGGTAACTCCATTTTATTGGCTAGTGACGTTTGATGCAGTTCAAACCAACTTACATCAGATTTTACCCCATGTGCTGGACGATAAATGACATTCAGAAACAAATGAAGACATTTTTCTTATTCACGAGAGCAGAGTAATCAAAGTTTCTTTACTGATGAATTCTTTGAACATCGCAGGAATCAACCATCGCAAGTCTACAGGAATGGTTATCAGATCTAGCCATTGCAAACAATCCTACCTTGAGGCTAATTGCAGGAATCATATTCATGCATGAGCAAGACTTTAATGAAGCCCTGAAACACACAAATGCTGGAGGAACCATGGAATTGTAAGTCTCATTTTGAATGCTTTACCAATACTTATTTCTTTCAACTGAAATAGTTTCAATTGTTGGCTGCTGTAATATAGGTTGGTTTTTTTTAAAAAAAATCTTTTTCTTTTTGGGGGTACATGTGCATAGATTGTCTACCTTATTTCATCCTTACCTACTACCTTGTTGCACGATGTGCTAAATCATCACTCGGTAGTTCAATCAACTTGTCACACCAACATTTATGTAATGATTTCAATGTAGAGATTTATTTTAATCAAAATTGGATGTAAGGGGATGTATATGGAACTTATTAACATTTAGAGACTAAAAGAAACAACTGCATATTTTTTTATTTTTTGTGCCTAATGTAGATGCGAGTAGTTGTTTCAGGGGAGATCCTTGTGAGACTGGAAGTGTATACTGGAATTATCTCAAGCCCGATATTGTTTTTCCATGCAGGCATGCTCTGAATGTTCAAATATTTCTTAAGATGCACAGGTCAGATTATGCTGAGAGACAGCTGAGAGTCATGCAACAGACTGATGAGGATCACACATTAACACAACTTGCAAATGCTTGGATAAATCTGGCTGTGGTTTGTAGCTTATATTTCCATTATCTGAAGGAAGGAATAGACTCTTTGGAGGTAGTCTCATTATTCTGTAATTTCTTGCTTGACCAGGGTGGTTCCAAGATACAAGAAGCATATCTTATCTTCCAAGATTTCTCTGAAAAGTATCCAATGACAAGCTTGATTTTGAATGGAAGGGCCGTCTGCTGCATGCATATGGGAAACTTTGATGAGGCCGAGACACTTCTTCTTGAAGCATTGAACAAGGTAGATTTGGATCACCATGCATTTGATTACTTATATTGTATAACTGAAACTACTTTCAGAGGGGATCAAGATTATTGGCACAAATTAGTGACCAAAAAAAAAAAAAAACCTGGACCCAACATCTTTGTTACTTAGTTGTCTTAAATGAATTTCCAATGTGATCGAACTTTAAGACAGATTGGAAATATTCAGTTCCACGAAAGATGCAAATATATTTTATAAATTTCTAGTTGTAGATAAGATGTTTCTTTGTTGTTGTTCACAGGATGCAAAAGATCCAGAAACGATGGCCAATCTAGTTGTATGCAGTCTTCACCTTGGCAAACCAACTTCTCGTTTTCTCAGGTAATGGGTGGGGATCCAACGCCAGAAATCTTTTTTCTTTCTTCGTTCTATTTTTTATGTTTTGGTTGTTTGGCTGCAATGCTTTTCTGTAGTCTGCATCTTTGTGGGAATTGTGGTGAAGGTAGTTTTTAAGAAAGTGAATGGCAATACTATGATCACCTAAGTTCTAGGGGGTTATTTAAATGAGGTTGGAGTGACTTGTGAGAGTAGTATTTTAAAGTGGAACATTTTCTATAACACTTTGAAGAAACTGAACCCATTTTCTAAAAATACTTGAAGGGGATTTAGTGAAGCGTTTAATATTGGAGTTTGATTTGTTATGCTCATTTAATAATATCTTGGGTATTCAGAAATTTATTTTGTCCTAGTCCTGTCTCCCATCCTCATATTTAATGTTTTCCTGAAGATAAGCTGTGGTGAATTTATCTGTATTGCTAAACGAAACTTGAGCACTTGAATCCACCCACAAGTTGGATTAGACTTCTATTGCTAACATATTTGCCACAAATTTTCAGCCAATTGAAACTTTCGCATCCCGACCACTTGCTTGTTAAACGCATCTCGGCTGCTGAAGAGAGCTTTGATAGAGCTGTTCAATCTGTTGCTTAGAGAAGCCTTGCTGCTTTTGAAGAGGGGGTGAACGATGTTTGCCAGTGTTGAACGACAGTCTTCACCCCGGGGGTTGTTTACTGTTTTTGTTAATTGGAGCTGTTGATTTTCCCCAAATATTTGGCAGTAGGAGTTATAACTCATGATTCTGATCATTTTTGTACTGAGATTCCTGGATGTCATACATATGATTATTTTACTTAATTCTTTAGAATTTTCAGGCTTCACTGTTTGACATTATACCAAATCTTAAGAGAGTTGCTTATGCTGAGCTTTGGAAAAATTATTAATCTCATACTCAATGTAGAATAATTAACAAATTTTAATGTGGTAAACATAATAATTTTTCCATTGAGTTGTTCCAAACACTACTAATCTCATCTCGGATGATGGGAAAGGGAAGAAGTGAGAAAGAAGGGCAATTTGTGCACAGATACATCCTCCTCTATTTTCTGAACTGTATGGTTTGAAATTCATGTGGCAAATGCGATGTTTCCTATAATTACTGCATAACAAGGGAAGGCCATAGAATATAAGTTGATGTAAAGGGAAAATTTTGGATACAAAAAGAATGTTCCGACCACTCTGCTTCCACTGAGCTGCTGAAGTAGTAGCAACAGAAGCACAGGTGAAATTAAGACCTCGTAACCATTCAAGAGCTTCCATAACCGCAAGATGTTTCATAATGTCGAATCAATACTCATCCGCAATCAAAAGCTTTCTTGCTGCTTCGCTCTTGACGCTTACAAATAACTCAAAAATGGCAATCATCATCTTGCGGATGAGATTGGAGTTAGAAAGCTGTACTGCAGGTGGGTGATTGCTTAAGCATGATGATAATGCATGAAGCTGTGAAAGTGTTTTTGTTTATGGGATCCCAAAAATCCATACCTGTGTAAGGAAGTGAAGATGATGACTTGGAGGTGGACCCCACATTTACCTTATCCTACAACTTTCAATTTTAATTTTTACCCCTCATTCTGACCTACATGTGTACACTACTACTACACTTTGATGAATCTGTTGGTTTAAATTTTCGCTTTTAACTATTAAAGAAATAATAATAATCATTATACATACGTACAAAGGAAGCATTAACTAAAAAATCAAAATAAAAATAGAAATGCCGCAAACCCAAAAGAGACGCAATACGACCGTTGCCTTTCCGCCCTCTCTCCATCTATAGCAAGTACCCCAACGGAAGCTCAAACATCCACACACCTCAGAATTCAAATTTCAAAAATTCAAAAACTAAAACACCCCCCATAAAGCCAAAACCTCCCCCACCTCTCTCTTCCCCTACTCTGTTCCTCGGACTTGGAGCTCCCCATTATTCACACACTTTTCTTCTTCTCCGCTTCACTGTCCCAACCTTCTTTTCAAACAAAACAAGCCCCGCTCCTTCTTCCACATTTCATGTTCGTGTTTTCGACAATGCAGCTGACGATCTTGTCGTGAACTCTTGCTTGGCTGTTTCTCCACAGGGAGGGATCACTCTCTGTGTGTGCTTTTTTTCCTTCAAGCTTCATATATACAATATAGAATGAAGGAGGATAACCCATCTGACAACAGAGGGGGGAAACCATCTAGGTTTGCTGATCAGAATCACAATCCCAATCCCAATCCCAAGTCTCTAAATCACAATGCCAAAGGAACCACTGGGAATGCTTCCAAATTCAGGGCTGCTTCTTCCTGGGGTTCTCACATTGTCAAAGGTTTCTCCACAGACAAGAGAACTAAAACCACTCTCCAACCCAAGAAACCACCTCCACTTGCTACTTCGGATTTCGCAAATCACAAGGACAAGCTCCCTCCTTCCCAGTCTCGCATCAAGCGTTCGCTCATTGGGGATTCACCCTGCTCTCCAAATCCTGCTCAACTTCATCCACACTCTTATCAGACCCACCGCAGGCAGTCGTCTCGGGACTTGTTCCTCGAGCTTGATCAGCTTAGAACTTTGCTCAACGAATCTAAGCACAGGGAATTCGAACTTCAGAACGAACTTACAGAACTTAAGCGGAATACTAGAAATTATGAACTGGAAAGGGAACTTGAGGAAAAGAAAGCCGAATTAGATGCTCTTACTCGGAAACTTAATCTATTGGAAGAAGATAGAAGATCCCTGTCCCAGCAATTGGTAGCTTCATCCTCAATTTCTGAGAAGCAAGAAGAGTCCCAGACCGCACCTCTAAACATAGAAGTGGAAGTTGTTGAGTTGAGACGCTTGAACAAGGAACTCCAGCTTCAGAAGAGGAATCTCGCTTGCAGGCTTTCTTCTGTGGAATCCGAGCTGGCTTGTGTAGCCAAAAGTTCCGAGGTAACATTTGGTCATTCGTTAGGATCTTTGTGTTTCACTATATACCACAAGCCAACATGCTTATGCTTGTGTGTTTGCTTTGTTACTGCTAGAGTGAAGGTGTGGCAAAAATCAAAGCAGAGGCATCTTTGCTGAGACAAACAAATGAAGATTTGTGCAAGCAAGTGGAAGGTCTGCAGATGAGCAGATTAAACGAGGTTGAGGAGCTTGCATACCTTAGGTGGGTCAATTCCTGTTTAAGGAACGAGCTTCGCAATTCCTGCCCCTCCGCCAATTCCAACAGCCCATCCAGCCCTCAGACAATTGACAGGACAAGTGAAGCTGTTGGTTCATTGTCCAGCCAAAAGGAGCACACGGTGGATTGCAACAGTGCAAAGAGAATAAATCTAATTAAAAAGTTGAAGAAATGGCCTATTACTGATGAGGAATTGTCTAATTTAGATTGCTCGGATAACAGTCTTGTAGAGAAAAATTGGGTTGATGCAGAGGAAGGAAGAAGCCCCAGAAGAAGACACTCCATTAGTGGAGCCAAGTGCTGGGCCGAAGAATTGGAGCCAAACAAGCGGAGGCAATCTGATGGGTTTATATGTGCAAAAGAGATGGATAAAGAGGCAGATCCTCTTTCCTCTCAGACTAATAGGAGTTTTGTCTCCTTGGATGTGGAGAAACGAGCCTTGCGTGTACCCAATCCCCCTCCGAGGCCTTCTTGCTCAATTTCTAATGAACCCAAAGATGAAAACACAGCTCAAGTCCCACCACCTCTGCCGCCTCCTCCTCCGCCCCCTCCTCTTCCAAAGTTTGCTGTGAGGAGCGCCACGGGAATGGTGCAACGAGCTCCACAAGTTGTTGAATTCTACCATTCACTTATGAAGAGAGATTCTAGAAGAGATTCTTCCCATGGAGCCATGTGCAATGTTCCAGATGTTTCAAATGTCCGGAGCAGCATGATTGGAGAGATTGAGAATCGATCATCTCATTTGCTTGCCGTAAGTTCTCACTCATATATCATTCATCTTCCATTCTTCTCATTTGGTGCTTGCCGTAAATAACGTTTCATACTTGTGCAGATAAAGGCAGATATTGAGACCCAGGGAGAGTTTGTAAATTCACTGATAAGAGAGGTCAACAATGCGGTGTACTTGAACATTGAAGATGTTGTGGCATTCGTGAAGTGGCTTGATGATGAACTTTGCTTTCTGGTACTCTCTTAACTTTGGTACACTTGATTTAAACAAAACATTATAGGAAGAATTTGAAAGAATGCATGCTGTAATATTGTCGAAGGTGGACGAAAGGGCAGTTCTGAAGCACTTCGATTGGCCAGAGAGGAAGGCGGACACATTGCGAGAAGCAGCCTTTGGGTACAGAGATGTAAAGAAATTGGAATGTGAAATCTCAGGCTACAAAGATGATCCCAGATTGCCTTGTGACATTGCTCTGAAAAAAATGGTTTCTTTATCAGAGAAGTAAGGACCTAAAGCTTCCCATATCTGAATTTGGTTGTTTTCCTTGACCTCAATAATGCTAAACAATGTGTTAATGCCAATCAGAATGGAACGTAGTATTTACAATCTTCTCCGGATGAGAGAATCATTGATGAGGCATTGCAAAGAATTCCAAATTCCCACAGATTGGATGCTCGACAACGGGATCATAAGCAAGGTAAAACTTCATGAAATATCATCATAAGTCTGTAAGAAAAGAAGAAGATGTCATGTTATGGGTATATCATTTATTAATAACAACCATAGTCTATTTGAACGATGGGTTCAAGAACACAGAAGTTGGATAATTCTTAAAAACAACCAAAATTGAACTCTTATGTTGTAGATAAAGTTGGGTTCGGTGAAGTTGGCAAAGATGTACATGAAGAGAGTGGCTATGGAACTTCAGTCAAAGGCTTCATCAGAGAAAGATCCCGCGATGGATTACATGCTTCTTCAAGGAGTAAGATTTGCGTTCAGAATTCATCAGGTAGCGATTAATTAATCATTTTTGTTCAGGAAAACAAAAGGAGATTGTTGCTGATTGTGTTTTGCCTTTTCCCGGCCACAGTTTGCAGGAGGGTTGGATGCTGATACAATGCATGCATTTGAGGATCTTCGAAACTTGGCCAACCTTCTGAACAAAAAGTGAAAGTTACAGGACAAATGGAAATCAATTAGCTTTGGTTTACTAACTCGGTAAGCAGCTAGCTAGCATGCTGGCAAAATACATTCATCAGGTCAAGTGCCATGAGTGCTGTTGGCCTTTTTTTTTTTTTCTCTCTTAGTGGGAAAGCTTTGCTCTAAACCCAATCAATCGGGTCTTAAAGCGAACTACATTTTTGTCCTCTGCCATCCTTCCTCCTCCTCTCTTAATGACGAGCTCCTCCGAAGCAGGCAGGCAGACTGTCAGAAGGAGGAAGATAGTTTTATTACATATTTATGTAAATTGAATGTTAGATTGGGATCAAATTCTTATTGAATGGAATGTTTTCTCAGGTTAGCCTTGATTTCTGAGTTTGTAAGTAAGATTGGCATGTTTGGAAGAATATCATAAACAGGTTTCTAGTTTCTATTAAAGGAAGGTTTCAAAGGATGATTTGAAATCACAAAATCACGGATGGATGATCTTCAAATTACATCACCTTCAAGTGTTCTAAAAATAAAGTCACTCTAAACAAAGTTCAGAAAACACATTTCTCAGACAACCTTTATGTACTTTTCTTGAAAAGATGAACACTCTCTAACCCGAAAGATCATAAAGCGAAGCAAATTTTGAAAAAAAGAAAGAAAATTGAGCGATCCAATAAATGAGGAGCGGGGGGTGGATTTGGATGATTGATGAAATCTAAAGCAGTGAGGAAAAGGGGAATGTGAAAGGACTGGAAGATTTGACATACGGAAAAGACCTAACATTGCCTGTATTTACCCCATCTTGGGTGCTAAACTACGGAAGAGGCAGACAAAAACCAGCCATTCTGCCAACCCCCCCATAAACAATTAAGAAAGAGAGAGAGAACCAACATTTTTTTGAAAAATCTCATATTGGATTGGGTGCACATGATTTGGTAATTTCTGAGGCTGTTGCCGACGAAAAGACCAATATCTGGTGTACTATATAGTACCCCCCCTGAGTGTCAACATAATAAATATGTGCGACTACATTGCATGTGTTCTAAGTTCTTACTCAATTCATCTTCATCCTTTCCCTTTACAGACACCAACTGTTCTTCAAGGACTATGATTACTACTACTTCTTCCACGCATCACAGAATGAGAATATCACATGCATTATCATTCGTTCACGTAGATTGAAACAAAAATTAGGGCAGGGGAAATGAAAAGGAGAGGGGAAATTGTGTTGGTTGATTTGGAAACACGGAATGAACAGTAAAGTAAGTTATAAATCGAAGTGATTTGACCTGTTATTGGGGATTTTACGCGAAATTTTGGAGCCATTCCCATCGCATCCATCTATCACGGAAAGCTTAGTAGTCACATCCACTACCATCCCTACGGCACCCCAAATTTTGCTTTGTTTCCTCAATCTCACCGCCGAAACAATGGTGCTTTAATTAGTGTCTTCTTCTCTCCAAATTCAACAATGTCTTCCATTTTTCCATCTCCAACGCCTCTTTCCCGTCTGCTTCTGCTTGCCTCTTTCCCGTCTGCTTCTGCTTGCCTCTTTCCCGTCTGCTTCTGCTTACCTCTGTCTGGAATCCCTCTTACAATATCTCATCCAATGAAATAACAGTATTTAATTTTTTTTTTTTTTTTTAACAAAATAGAAAGATTTAGATTATTTTTTTTTTTATAATTTAGGGATTTATTTTTACCGAAAAGAAAGATAAAAGGAAAAGGAAATGACGTTTCGAAACGATATTCAAAGTGTCATCGCTTGCTTACTTGACGTGGCTGTGTTTTCATAGGCCCTTCCTGTCCCTTACTCTCTCTCCCCTCCAACTTCCCTCCCTTGTTTATTCTTTATATATTCTTCACCTCCTCCACTTCCTAACTTATTCCTTCTTCTCAAATATGGCTGCCNTTCACCGCTCTCCACCGCCGCCGCGTCTTCCCTGCCTATCTACCCTCTTCCACAGTTATTATTGACTCGCTACTCACAGATCCATCATGTTGGCTATGGAATCCGCCTCCGCCGTCAACAGTTATAGCTCCGCCTCTACTACCACCACCTCCACCTCCGACAACCACCACCACTATCCTCTTTTGGAGCCTGCACCACCATCCCCACCGCCACCTGCACTCAGCAGGTACTTTGATTAAATAATCTTCTTATTTTTCTCATTATGTTCTCGTATTTCAACTCGAAGCATGAAAATGGTAACCGTACGTGACGCAGGTACGAGTCACAGAAGCGACGTGACTGGAACACGTTCGGGCAGTACCTAAAGAACCACCGCCCTCCACTCACACTATCCCGCTGCAGCGGCGCTCATATTCTCGAGTTCCTCCGCTACCTGGACCAGTTCGGTAAGACCAAAGTCCACACCTCCTGCTGCCCCTTCTTCGGACACCCACAACCTCCTGCCCCCTGCCCATGCCCTCTCCGCCAGGCCTGGGGCAGTCTCGATGCTCTCATCGGCCGCCTCCGCGCCGCCTTCGAGGAGAACGGCGGCCACCCGGAGACCAACCCCTTCGGCACCCGAGCCGTCAGGCTCTATTTAAGGGAAGTGAGAGACTCGCAGGCCAAGGCCAGAGGGATTGCTTACGAGAAGAAGCGTAAGAAATCCGCCATGGCTCCACTGAAGAAGCACCAACGACATGCCCCCGACGAACCCATGCCTCTCACGGATCACTCCGCTTCCTAACTTCCAATCAAGAACTTAATCAATCTATCACTTAGTTTTCTGTAAGCCCTCGTAATTATAGTTAGTATTTTGTTTAATTACCCCTTCCCAATCTGTGTTTATATATTCAGACGATTTTTTATTTTTTTTAATGGATTTTAATATTTCGTGATAACTAAATCGACAATAAAATTAAAATATATAGAAATATTGGTTCCCATCCCATTATTATAGATTGACAAATAAAATTCCACTTAGAGCAAGTTTCTCCCCAGCTATGTGTGTCACTTAAATTCTAGACATTTCTTCCTTACATCCACACGTATTAATTCAATTTCAAACCTTATGTTATATTATAACATTTTTTTTTATCCTTAATTACTGCTTGATAGTGCCATATTTCCATCATTGCCCTCTCCTCTTATATTTAAATCTCATATCTCAATATATCAACTTTATATTAAAAATAATATATCTTTATCGGGGATTTGATTATATGTTTAAACTAACTGGATAAACCAAAATTTGCTTATTTATTTATTTTATTTTATTAATTGGGGGAAAAATTAGATGGATAAATGGCATTTGTTGTGAGGCTAAAAAAATGGGGATGTCATTTGCACGCAATCATTGCCTTACAAGAAAATAGACATTAATTGTCCAACCCCTTTATCATGCATTAAAATAAGTGCTCATCATATTCACGTCTCTTCTTACATTTATCAACTTCCTCATCATTATTCTATGTATTTAATTATTATTTTTCTTTTTCTTTTTTTAATATATAAAACTATATTTATTTAAACGCGTCTCATGCAACTATATTCTCGTACTAATAAATTTAGAATTTTAAAAAATGTTAGTTCGAGAAATTAAGGGATAATAAAGTCATAGCCATTATGAATATAAATGTATATATTATTATTTAAAAACACATAGTCAGTAGAAGAGACGGAGGTTGAGTGTAGTTGGTAAGATATGGTCCATTGGACAAAAAATAGAAGACCAGCTGGTCCTCCATTTAAGAAGCAGATCCAGGTGGGTTTGGAGATTTTATTTTTTTAATAATTATTCCACCCCCGAATCTCACGCTCTCTTAATTCAATTTCTATTTTTATATTTATATGCAAAAGAAACACGTGGATAGAATTTCCTGGATTCGACATTTAATGGTTCTGTCCGAGATAGAAGTGTTATTTTAAGATTTAAATTGTAAATGGTTATATTATAACTAAATTTCATCGTCTTCCTTTTTTGGGCCGGGTTCCCTGCCTGATGAAGCCCAATTATTAGGACAGATGGCCCAATTATAATTTGATTGACAACCTAGTAAACGACGGTAATACTTGATCATCGATAAATAATAATACTTTATTACCGCCTATTCAAAACAAATATAAAAATTATGGAATTTGACTCGATTATTTTGATTTTGTAATAGCTTTACTGACGTCACCATGCAAGTTTTTATTGGTTCAGAGGCGGTTTAAGTTTAATTAATTAAAAACACGATTTTAATGAGCCCGGCAAATTGGATCCATTCTGAGTTTGATCCTTTCAAATACATATCCCATACAATTTTTTTAATCTCTAAATAAAGAAAATAAAATTTTAAACTAAAACTTTTCAAATTTATTTTTAAATACAACTGTTCGTTTATTTACTGACTTGAAATTTTTTTTAATTTAATTTTCAATTTGGTTATATGGAAAAGTATATTTATAGTTTAATTTTAGAAAGAAAAGGAAAAAGAAAAGAAAACAATGGGTCGAAAATGGAAGGCGGTTTGAAAAGGAGAACGGGGAGACGGAAAACCGAGTCTAATCAATCGAACACGTGGGCGGTGGAGATTGGTAGACCCAATCATCCGCTGGCTGAGCCCGAGCCGACGTGGTCGCACGTAGCCGGCCACAATCTTTTGGTAAGGGACACGTGTTGGTACCCTTTGATTGTATCGTCAACGCTATTCAACTCCGTCGCGCCGGAGGCGGTTTCCGAAAGTGGACTTCAGCGGACAGCAGCTCCCTTGTCAACGTCACTGTGAGTTCCACCAAGTAAAGATTATTTTATCCGCAAATTCCATCGAGTTTGCTCCTAATCAATCGTGCCGCCCAATTGTTTCTAATTGCACAATTCACTCTACACTAATCAATTTGCTTTATCCGCACCTGAATTGACTACTCAATTTGTTATTCCCATTCCATTTCTTTTGGATTTTCTTCTTTTCTAATCTCCGTGGAGCAAGCGGATCACCTACTGCAACGAATACAGCCTTCAAAAGCACTTCTCGCACAGAGAAACAGAGAGAGAAGAGACACCCGGGGTTGAGGCTCCGATCATCAACAGTGCTCTTTTGGTCGTCTTCTTCCCTCAGGTTATTTTGTTTCCCTACTTTTGGTTTGGCGACGCGATGGGGGGTACATAATTTTTGTTTTCTTTTTTGGATGGTTCTTTATAGATTACGAGCAGTTATTGATTTAACGTATGGGCCTTCATCTGAGTTGTTATTATTATTGCTCTTTTAATTCTGAAGAAACATAATTGATTGTGTTCTTCATCGGAGACGTTTTTATGTAATATGTATTTGCCGAAGCAGTATATGGTCAATCATGGCAGCTTGTGATCAAGACTCGAGAGAATTTGAATTTGAGGGATCTAATTTTATAAGAAAATTTCATGAACATGCATCATAGAGCTATCTGGTTTGTAAGGATATAAATTTTGGGAACGAGTAGGATTATCAGCGTCAAGAAATTTATAAACTTAATCCGCATCCCTGCAATCCTTTGCGCGGAACTTTTTTTTTATAGGTTGGCGAGTGCGGGAAGAATAATTTGGTGAACCTAAGTAAATTACCAGAATATAGTGATCATTTGGTGTTCTTGCGCCTTCTACTGTTATAGGGATGGCTTCAGAATTCTCAATCTATTTCATATCATGAGACATTTGTATTCTTTTGTATTGCACAGTTTCATCATCGGCAGATTTTTCTCTCTTTTTGGTATTTTATCCTTGTTCTTCATCAATATGAAATGATCCAATTATATCATGAAACAATAACCATTATTGTACTTCTTTATATAAGCAGGTGGAAAATAATAATGCCTGATCGTGACTGAAAGAGTTATTATGGATTCAGCAAGGAGTTGGTTTCAGAAGTTCCAATATAAAGAAAAGAAGGAGAGTGTAAGTGAGAATGAGGTTCAAGATGTACCTTCAAGTGCGACAAAACAGAAAGTGGAGGTTGCCAAGCAATATATCGAAAACCATTACAAATCTCAAATGAAGTCATTGCAAGATAGGAAGGAGAGGTATTTTTTTGTGTATACTTTTTTATGTTCAAATGGTCTGGTTACACTTATTGGCTTTCCATGGGATCGAGTACTTGGAATAAAATCTGTGAGGGGTCGTAGAATTCATATTTATAAATATATGCACTTATATTGAGTGAATATAATGTTTTTATCCTTTCATTGGATTATTTGGTTCGTTTCATACCAGATATAATATGGAAGTGATCTTACTCTTAATTTTGAACGAGTGGGAAATCATTAGAATAGGCAGTTGGTCGGTGCTAATAGTACTAACGTATTTAACCCTGGAATTGAAGCAACGTTTATTCATTTATTTTTATTTTTTATGTTAATAGACATGTATAGCTATATTTTAATTATACTCTTGACATTTGGCAGACGTTGGGTGTTGGAGAGGAGGCTTGCTGATGCCGATGCTTCTGAGGAAGACCAAATAAACGTTCTTAAATATTTAGAACAGAAGGAGACCGAGTACATGCGTCTTCGTAGACATAAAATGGGTGTTGATGATTTTGAACTTTTGACAATTATAGGAAGGGGGGCATTTGGGGAGGTATGTTTCTAACAGCTTTGTCATGTTACTATATGAACTTTTAAATCCCAACCAGTGTTCATTTCGCTTTCACTTTACACTTGTTTGTTTGTTGTCTAATTTTTTTTTTTTTATATCTCGGTTCAATGATAATAGTACAAAAACATACATGTAGGCTATTGAAAGTATGTACATCTGCAAGGATTTACATACACGGGATCTTCTTATGATTTTTTTTTTGGGGAGGTTCTTATAATAGTTATTCTTTCTATATTGTTTTGCAGGTTAGACTTTGTAGAGAAAAGGCCACAGGTCACGTGTATGCAATGAAGAAGCTTAAGAAGTCTGAGATGCTTCGCAGGGGGCAGGTATTTCTGAAACCTTGGCCCTAAATTTTTTGATGATGGATTGACATTATTTCAAATATTTTAGTTAATGGTGATCAGTAGTACAGAGCTTTTTGTAGCATCAACTTTAGTCATGTGATCATATGCCAAATGGTTAGAGAAAGTAGGGGTTTGTTTCGGTTTTTATTTTTCAGATCCTTCTGGAAAGAAAATAAAGTTAAGGGAATAGGAAGATGAAAATAATTCTCCTTTGATTCTGCAGATATTTGACTCTTGTATTTTATTTTGTTTGTTGTAGGTGGAACATGTCAAAGCTGAAAGAAATCTTCTAGCAGAGGTTGACAGTGCCTACATTGTGAAGTTATACTGCTCCTTTCAGGATGAGGATTTTTTGTATCTTATAATGCAATATCTTCCTGGAGGTGATATGATGACTCTGTTAATGCGCAAGGACATTTTGACGGAGGATGAGGCTAGATTTTATGTTGGGGAAACAGTCCTTGCTATAGAGTCCATTCACAAGCATAATTACATTCACAGGTTTTATATCTTCTTCTTCTTCTTTCAATAATCTTCCATAGCTTGCTCTTGTCATGGTTTTTGCTCAATCTTTATTTGGTTGATAAAATAAACAATTGTCTTAACTAGCTTTCGTTGATGGCTAGTGATTGGTTTCACTTGAACCTTCTTGCATTTTTGTTCAGGAAGTGTTTGGAAAAAACATTTTGTGGTTTTACTATTTGTTAATCATGTTTGAATATGAATTTGCTTATAATAAAAAGATTAAGCGTTCCTTTCTTGGAAAAGCTGGCCAAGCAGCCACTGTTTCTACTATGCCTTTCTAGCAAAAGAAACTATTTGTGGTACATATTGGAAGATCTCTGCGGTTGCATGAACTGGGCCACAGTCGCAACTGTCCATTTCTAGGATGTTGGATTTTTATTTTTTACTTTTCATTTTTTCCCCTCACATTTTAAGATAT